CCCTACAAGTACTGGGATTAAAGGCGTGTGCCACCACCACCCAGTTCTGAGTTACCATTTCTGTCACTAAGTCTCTTCCTTCCCCACAATGGCTGATGAGCACAGCTGAGAGGGCTGTTCAACACTCTGCAGTGGTCTGTAGAAACATCTCCTGTTACTGCCTGGTTCTCTTGACATGTTCCACTTGTATTATCCTGGAAGGATGTACCTGCTTCGAACTCAGGCAGTCAGGAGCTTGCCTCTGTTTTTTTCTCACTGTCTCTTGTTTCCTGTTGTCCCATGTCTTAATGCTGCAAACTCTTATAATGTCCCAGGTTTCTGATTGTGTTGGAGCGTGAAAACATTCAACTTTCTGTTTTCCAACCTTGGCTGAAAGCAAAAGTCTTAGTTGAGTTTTCCAGAATATAAGCCTGCTTGAACTACAGTGGCAACCTTGCTGCATGTACCTTTGGGTGAGCTAGCCCGGGCAGTGCTGGAAGACTCATCCTGGTGGTGAGGATGTGGGAGATCGGGTGGGCTGACCAACTCAGCTATCACCCAGGTCTACATTCAGGGCTGAGTTGATCCACCCTAACATTTATCACATGTTGGAGCATGTGAAGGGGCCAGTCCTGCAGATCCAAAGCCACAGGATCTCCATGACATAGACCAGAACAGGATATCCAAGAAGAGCCCCAGTGTGGATCACCTAACAGAAGCCAGAGGCCTTGAACCAGACCAATGGCTCATTGCAATGAACTTTTGCAAATAAATATGTATGGACTAGAAGAGAAAAGAAACACAATGGCAAGCCCCTGGAGTGATTTAAGGAGACAATCAAGTTGGATTTGAATTTTAGAATGGTCACCCTGGATAAAGACCAGTGAAAGACCCTAGGAAAACATGGAACATGTTCCATGACATAGAGGCTTCTGGTGACCAATCACTGGATGCCTGTGTGCATTCTGTGGCTTTAGGCCAAGGGTGCATTTTCAGTGGCAGAGTCTGAGAATGATGGCTGCCCACAGGCATCCTTTGTCTATGTGAACACACAGCCATCTCTGGAGTCCCAAATGTAACCCATAAAAAAAAAAAATGTAACTTATCTGTTCTGTTATGTGCCAGAAATAGGGATCATTTTATTCTAAAAGACTGGTCAGGACAGGCTCCCAGGAAAAGGCACCAACATCCTGTGCTCACCTTGCATTAGATGTGGAGGTCCTGGGTGCATGACTTTTAGCTTACCCACTTGTTAAATGTATATGATATGGTTGTAAAAATAGAGTGACCTTCAGAGCCCTTGAGTTGCCATAACCTTTATTATTTTGCTGTCTTTTCCACTGTAGGCACACCTGGATCCAGAAAAGGATCAGAGAGCACAGGAAAGTATATTATAATGTTGCTCTAAAACCATGGTCCCCCTGAAGCATAGCACCAACCCCATCATGCAGAAACAGACATTATTGCTGAGACCTCCAAACCCAGCCACCCTGTCAGGGACCAGCCACAGGGCAGAATACCATATGGGGCATGAAGTGTTCTGAGACCTTAGGCAAGTCCACTGACCCTTGCAGGGAGCCTGGACCCATTCCCCATAGGCATATCCTGGTAAGATTCCTGGACTTTGTTTTTGAAAACATGAAAATCTTACAGAGACGTTTACTTATAAGGGGGAAAATCAACCTGGCTATGGTGCCTTTAGATTACAGAGGAAAGCCCACAGCTCATAAACCTGCCCCCAAAATACCAGCATCGTGTCAGGGTAACTGGACAGAATCTGCGAGTTTGGAGATGTTTAAGATGCACAGTCATGTACATCTCTGTAGGAAACACCGCAGAGGAAAACAAGTCGATCAAATTAAGCAGTAGTGGGTTTAAAAGCCAAAATTCAGATACATTCTTAAAACCAAATGACTTGAAAAATTGAAAGCAGGGGCTTGAAGAATGGCTTAATGGTTAAGGAGCACTGGCTGCTCTTCCAGGGGTCCTGAGTTCAATTCCCAGCACCCACATGGTGGCTCACAGCCATCTATAGTGGGCTCTGATGCCCTCATCTGGCACATGCAGATAGAGCACTTGTATAAATCAAATAAATAAATCTTTTAAATAATAATTACAAATAAAAATAGAAATTGAAAAGGCTAAGATGCGATAACAAGGGAATGAGACGCGGTAGAACAGGATGAAAAGAGACACTGGAAAGCAGTAATAGACACTCTTAAATGCTAAAGAACCTCATGCAGCCACAGACACCAGAAAAGGCAACTAAACAGGGAAAGCAGACATGGGAAATCCAAGAAAACTCCTTAAAATATATTATGGGGCTGGAGGATGGTTCAGTGCTTAAAAGCACCGGCTGTTCTTGCAGAGGAGTGGGGATCTGGTTCCCAGCATCCATGCAGTGGCTCAGAACTCTAACTCTAGTTCTAGGGGATCTGCTGCCCTCTTCTGGCATCCTTAGGCACCAGGCACACACACAGTAAACATATATACATACATATGTACATACATACATACATACCAACCATTCATACACATAAAATTTAATTTTTTCTAAAATAGGATTTTAAGTATTCCTTTTTTAAAGTAAAAGGCTATATAACAGGAAGTATGTTAAAGAATGAACTCATGCAGTTACAGATGATAAAGACTCACATTTAAACAGCTTAAATCTTATATTGCCAACATCTGCCAACGTTACCTGTAAATTTCACAACAAAAAAAGTTTTCATAAAGCATAAATATTTATTTTTAAAGATTTATTTTTGTTTTTCAAGTTATGCATATGTACACCTACCTGAATGTGTTTTTTTTTTTGTTTGTTTTTTTTGTTTTGTTTTGTTTGCACATGCGTGTGCAGTGTCTTCAGCGCCTGAAGGTGTATATCTCTGGAGCTGGAGTTACAGGTGGTTGTGAGCCACACAACACGGGTGCTGGGAACGGAACTTGGGTCCTCTGAAAGAGCAATGTGGGGTTTTAAACACTGAGTCATCTCCCAGCTTCCTAAAAGATAAGATTCTAGAGACATCTATCTTATTCTAAAACAATCATGAGAAATAAAGTTAAAAGATACTCTTCAACTATAATAAAATGGAGACAAAGACATCACAACAAAGCTAGGCATGGTGGCGCTCACCTTTCATCCCAGCACACACGAGAGGCGGGGGCGGGGGTGGGGGCGGGGGCAGGGGCAGGGGATCTCTGCATTTGAGACCAACCTGGTCTACAGAACCAGTTGTGGGACACAGAGGGCTACACAGAGAAAGGAAAAGAGGGAGGTGGGGAAAAAGGGAGGAATAACCAACATTTTTATAATTAATGAGCAGAGATGGTCACTGTGAAAGGGGGAGATAGTAAATCCTAGCTGAGACTGGTAAAATTATAAAGATGACAAGAACCTGGGAGAATAAATACACTGCTTTTGGGAAAAGTGAGTAACAACTGACACGAAGGTGTCACAGACAAACAAAGAAACTCGTGTGCTCACATACTAAGAATATTTGCAAGTCTTTGGTTTTGTTTGGTTTGGTCTTTCAAGACAGGGTTTCTCTGTGTAGTTTTGTAGACCAGGCTGGGGCTCGAACTCACAGAGATCTACCTGCCTCTGCCTCTGCCTCCCCAGCTGGGATTAAAGTCATGCACCACTACAGCCCGGCCATGTATTTGCAAGTTTTAAGGTCTCTGAGTATCTGCAGAGTTGTAAAAGAGTGTAGCCTATATAATACAGGTTGTAACTGGCCTGTAAAGAGCAAATAAGCCACTGCTACTCCAGTATGTCCAGATGTGGACATGTTTACATTAGCTTAACAAACCATTATAACTCTACAGTAACATTATGCCAAAAAATCTTTACACCAAACCCAAATATAGATGCATGAAACACTAAAAAAATATATTAGCAAGTATACCTAATTCATAAATATGTATCAAACACTCTAGTGTTGAAGTAACACTCCATGACTGAGCAGGCTGCATCCAGCGAGTAATGGACCCTGCAGGTCAACACTTACAGCAACCAACTAAGCAAAAAGCCACAAAATGGTATCAATGGATGAAAATGTCACACACATTCATTAACAAAAAATATAAAAATAAGATGGGTGGTGGTGCTACACACCTTTAATCCCAGCACCTGGGAAGCAGAGGCAGGCAGATCTCTGTGAGTTTGGGGTCAGCCTGATCTACAGAATGAATTCTAGGACAGCCAGGGCTACACAGAGAAACCCTGTTTCAAAACAACATAAAACAAAAACAAAAATGATAAAATCAATGAAACTAGCCAATCTCATTCAAAGTGATGGGATGCCAAGGTAATTTTAATTAAAGTCTGGACCAAAATGGAGGTCCTTCAGCCCACCACCTACACTGTTTTAGACTGTCAAATGCAGTATGCCAAGAAGAATATGTAGTTTTTTTATAAACACTGGGAGGAAGATATTTTGATTTTTCTGAAATATTTGCAAAACTCAAGACATTCTAATGGACAGTGTATTTTTGAAGCAATGGACTTTCCTCTGCACCAGTCACACCAGTTAGGGGTGGAATGAGTAGTGTGTGTAATCCAATAGTCCTGAGGCGTTCCATCATTAGTTCCATATTTGGGTCATGCCATTCATTCCCAGTTTCACACACCTAGGCAGTCACGTACTGTGCCTCTGCCTGACATGCAGCATGTCTCCACACCATAAACTACTGCCCTTTGAGACCCAGCTCAACACTCACCTCTCCTGACTTCTTCTCTTTCTGGATTAATTCCCGTTCAATAAACTTCCTCTGGAAAGACTGAAAGGAAGGGGCAAAGGAGAAGGAAGCTAGGCAGGAAGGCAATTGAGAAGGCTCGGAGAATGGAGGATAGGCTAAGGTTAAGGCGCAGCCCTGTGGGAGCTCTTGCCAAACCTCAGATCAGCGGTGAGGAGCCCATCCATTCTTCTAGCTCCCTCTTTCCCACTACCACCACCCCACCGTGCTCAACTCTTCCCTCTCCCAGAATCTAACTCCCTAGGGGCATCTTCCGATTTCAGACTTAGACATCAAGGACGTCATAGCCCTAGAAACCAACACTCGGGTAAGTCCATACCGCAGACAAAGCTCCATAGATCCAGTACTTCAGGAAACTATGTTTGGCACGCGGAGGGTGGGCCTGTTGAGAGACTGGGCAAGCAAGGCTCCTGATGATCGCAAGCTGAAGAGCCTCATGGAGAAGGGTACAGAGCCCAAGATGGAGACAGCCAAGATGCTGAAGCCAGAAGAGGTGCTGAGCTGCCGGTGAGCACTGGGGTGCATGGGCAGGCCTAGGACAGCAGTGTGCGAATGCATGCATGTCTGGACATGGAGAGGGCAAGCCTAGGACATCAGGCCCTAGGCCCACACTTGGACATGGAGGGGGCAGGACTAAGTCTGCTAACTTAGTGAATGCACTCTTGGACATGGAGGGAACCAGCTCAACCCTACCTGGCTCTAGCTGGCAAAGGATTGCTACAAGGCTAAAACCCTGGGTTTGCCAGCAGTCTTTACTGCCAAAGACTACAAGTAATATATTAACTCCTATTAATATTCCCCTGGTGGGCTGGGCAGTGGTGGCCTTAATCCAAGCACTCAGAAGGCAGGTGGGTCTCTGTGAGTTCAAGGCTAGCCTGGTGTACAAAGCGAGTTCCAGGGCAGGCTCCAAAGCTACACAGAAAAACTGTGTCTCAATAAAAAATAAAATAAAATCCCCTGGACAGCCAGTAGGGGCCGCTATTTTGAGCTCTACCTCTGGAAATTCCAATTTTCCATTTGCTTCACAACAGAAGCATTAGAGATTCATCAGAAGGAAAACACAGGTTGTCTGTGGCCTTTTTCTCATAAAGAAACAGCCCCGAGTCCATTTGCTCTGGTGAATTTAGGTGACAGTCTCTGCATTGGTTGCTCTTCCGATGCTCTGGTGAACACCACCACCAAGGCAACTTGTTATGAGGAGGAGGTTATTTGGGTTTATGGTTCCAGAGGGATCCTGTCATGGCAGGGACGCCCATCAGCAAGCCCAGTAGCAGCAGTCCTGAAGTCATGAGCAGGAGGCAGGGAGCTCATAAATGGGAAGTAGAGTGCGGCTTTAAACTCTCAGAGCCCGCCCCCAGCGACACACTTCCTCCACTGAGGCCACGCCCTTGTAAACCTCCCCAAACAGCGCCACCCACTGGAGGATGGAGTATTCAAACACCAGAGCCTACAGGGGACATTTCTTACAGTGTTGCTGTCCCCAGTGACCTCCTGCTATGTTTGGGGTTCGGATTCCTAAGATGAGCATGAACTGTTTGGTTTCTGTCCTCCCCACTGGGCCACAACCTCACCTATCTCTTGATTGCTCCGCATCCATACCATGTCGCCAGGTCTCCGTCCGAAAACACTCCAGGCCAGTGTCATCCTGAGGAGGGATCAAGACAAACGGATAACAGGGCCACCCTCAACAAGCTGGCAGCAATATAGCCGTGGCTCCTGGAGAATGAGAGATGATGCAGGGGCAGAGGCAATGAGAGGCCACACCTGACCAGCTGCCCTCTTTGCAGGGACAAGAAAAGATGTGGCTGTAATGGGCCTGGCTGCGTGAGAGTGGGGGAACTTCTTTCCCACAGAGAGCAGGAGCGCTGGGGCAGGTGACATCTGTAAAGTCGTTGGGGAGACTCCTGAGACAAGGGTTAGATAGATGGTGCAGGAGGGTCTAAGGAAGCCACGTGTGGAAGTACCAGCCCACCCGCACCTCCCTGGCAGGCTGCCATGAGGTCAGGGGAACCGGGGCCAGGGGTAGCAGTCCAGGGGTAGAACCCAAGCACAGGCAAGGCAGGAAGCCTGACAATGGTAACACATCTCCTCCCTGCCACCCATAAGCAGCCAGCAGGTAGCTGGTGGCATCCACCCCCTACTGGAACCGCGAAGTAAGCAAAGTAGCACATACCTTCATCCCAGCACTCAAGAGTTGAGACAGGAGGAGTGTGTGTTTGAGGCTGCCTGAGCTACATAATGGGATCTGTCTTGACATAGATAAATAAAGTGGTTAAATATAAAGTTGGCCCCAAGGTCAAGGTTGACAGTGGGACCTGGCGCTCTGTCTGGATCCCGCCGCAGAGATGGGATCGATTTCACTCCTCAGCCGAAGTCAGGATTACACGGCTTTAGAAAACATTTCAAATCAATGGCTGAGTTATTTAACTGTATGTCAAAGGCAGGAACATATGCCTGTGCGGGCAGCTCTGTGTATGCTCACTCGGAGGCCCCGAGCCTGGACTCAGATCCACTACCTGCAGCAGTGCTCAACACAACACAATTCGCCCAAATTAACACATTGCCACACCCCCACATTAGCCATGTACTCTTTCTTCCTTTGAATCAAGTCTTCCAAGTGGGATGGCCCATTCTGTACTGGCTGTCACTCTGTTGATGGACCACCCCATTCCCCAGAGAGAACCTGCCTTTCCATAGCATAGCTTCTCTTGCCTTCCGTGGACCTCGTGTTGAGTGTAGTGCTTGAGTCAATGAAAATTAGCCTGTTTTCTCTGGAGATAACCAGACTGGTGCCTGGCAGGTTGATTTCCAAGAGTTACAGTACCTCTGCCACCTTCGGGGTGTCCTTCTGTCAGGGACATACACAAGGAGCCAGGCCAAATCTCTTGTTGGCGTCCTACTGCCCAAAGCCAACCCACATGCCCACCATTTATTGAGACAGGGTCTCACTGTGTACCTCTGGCTATCCCAGGCTGGCCTCAAACTCACAGAGATCTGGGATGAAAGGTGTGCATCACGACAAAGCCAACCCTTTTTTCAGTGAAAGTCAGCTGACATGGCTCCTTGTCACCTCTCCTTAACTTCTCTTGAAGGTACCTGCGTTTGTCCAAGAACAACATCAAGACCTTGATCAAGCTGTGCAAGGATGCAGGGATGGACGTGGACATCCACCCACACATGGTGGAATCCGAGATAGACTCCAAGAAGATATTCGACCGTCACTTAAGCACTGCACTCTAGTTGCACCACCGGAAGCTCGTCCTGTGTGGGCTGAACACCCTGCAGACTAGCTTCTCTAAACTGCACCGGGCAAACAAGTCAGACGCATCACCACTAGCTGCTGTCAACTTTGTCCTAGGCTCTACCCGGGTTGCTGGGGAGAGAACCCCCTTTCAGAAAGCTTGTTGGGTGCTGTGGCATTGCCTGTACTCCAGCACAGGTGGAGGCAAAGGGATCAAGAGTTCAAGTTCAAGGCCAGCTTGGGGCTGTATGAGGCCCTGTCTAAAACACCAAAATGGGGTAAGGGGTACAAAGTTCTTTTAAACTGCTTCTTAGGAGAAAATGCTTCTTGAGCAACAGAACGGGGCTTCAAGTTCCTAGAGGACTTCAGGGAGGAGAAAAGGTTGAGCAGTTTTCTGGAGACACATGCCACTGTCCTGTGCAGGATATGGCTGTGTGGGGAACTGGCCCTCATGTGTATGCCTGAGGCTGGTGGCCAAAGTCCTCTCGTGAGGACTGACTTCATGGTAACACCAATTTTTATTATTCACCCTTTTCCCACCAGGTATATTGCATGGCTTGCTGGATTCCTGTGTGGCCCACTGAGACCCCAGGTCCCACCCACAGAACCCAATCTGCTTGTTCAGAAGTTCTGTCCCACGTGCTCTGGGACCTGTGTGCAACATCCAGTTCCCAGGAGGGAAGCTAGTGCAGCCCTCAATCTCAGGGAAGTGTACAGGGTACGCAATCCCAAGAGGTGCTTGGGATCCTACTACTCCATTATCCCACCCACAGGGCTTATCATCCTTGAGACTGGAGGAGGGAGGAGATGAGCAGATGGGCAGCCTGTACACAAAACAGAGTCAAATCCCTGGAGAGGAGATCTTAGTGTGCTGGAGGAGAAAGGCTTCCTGGAGGAGGAAGCTACTTTGGGGTTTTTGTTTTGTTTTTTTTTTTTTTTTTTTTTTTTTTTTTTGGTTTGGTTTTTTGGAGACAGTGTTTCTTTGTGCAACAGTCCTGGCTGTCCTGGAACTCACAGGGATCCAAGTACCTGTGCCTCCCGAGTGTAGGGATTAAAGGTGTGTGCTACAACGGCCTGGCTGGAAGCTACTGTTAGTGAGCAGCAATGCCCAGATCTATATGAGAGCAGGAAGGGCAGGCAGAGAGAACAGAGCCTACGACGGCTCAGAGGCCAAGAGAATGCAACAGTCAGGAGCCTGCAGTTAAGTCTGATGGAGGGGACACTGACAGCAAGAGCAGTGGAAAGAAACGCCAGCCTTGCTCTGCCACTCTCCAGTGTGTACCAGCTGTGTGCTGACCTGTTAGAAGGCTGAGGACACGGTGTGAACGAGAGAAGGCATGCTCTTGCCTCTGTAACTTGAACTCTGTGGGGAGGGGAGACTTAAAATGTTTATCAACAGAAACCCAGAAGTGCTATGATCCCAGGGAAGTACAGACACAGCCCAGCATCTGCAGGGACAAGGACCAGCCTCTCATATCTGATGATGAGAGGGGAGAGTCAGGCCAGAGGCCAGACCTGCAGCCTTCTGTCTGGAGTTTCTGTGAGGGGAAGATGAAGGGGAGTCAACCCCTAGGGCTCCTTACAGAAGATGTTCACAGAAGGAAAGGAAGGTGTATCAGTGAGCTATGGCTGTGTAACAAATAGCTCTTAAATACAGTTTAGAGCACTCACTTTCAACAAGCCTACAGGTCTGCTAAGCAGTGATGCTTCGAGTGGCCTTGGCAGACCTAGGTTGTGTGCCTGTGTGCCTGTTCAAGTAGTAGGTCAGTTAGGGCTGGCTGGTTTGGGGCAGTCCTGTCCAGGATGGCTGTTCTCTACCTTAACAGACAAGCCTGGGCTTATGTTAATGGACTGTCTGTGTTCTAAGAGGTGGTAAGGCCTTGAGGACATGGGTCAGGGCTATGATATAATTACACTGTGTTCTATCTCATGCTGGTCTATAGTGGCCAAAGCAAGTGCCAAGGTTAGCTTAGATTCAAAGGTTGAGACTAGCCTGGATCCATAGAAGGAGAGAATCATAAAGTAACATTTCAGAAGGCCTGGTTAGGTCAGCAGGTGTAAGAAACTAGCCATTGCTGTGGTTAACCAGAAAACTTAAACCAGGGTAATGTGTTATGAGTAGGTTTTTCCACTGGTCTGGTCCCACCGCCACGCCAGGCCCAAATAACACACAGAGACACTGTATTAGATATAATTCTGTTAGCCAGTTACTTGTTTATCAGCTAGCTCTGTCTTAATTATTAACCTGTTTCTATTAATCTAAGTACTTCCACGTGGTCTTATCTTACCGGAGAGGGGCTGGCGTTCTTCTCTCTCCATATTCCATCTTGACTCCTCCCTACTACTTCCTCTCTCCCCCTAGTCTCCTAGTCCCGCCTATCCTGCTTTCCTATTGGCCAACAGTGCTTTATTCATTAACCAATAAGAGAAACATTTACAGAATGACATCTCCCATCAGTAATGGTGTTGGGAGCAAATGAGGCAAAGCAGGAACAATCTGTCACTTGACTGGGCATGAGCATAAGGGATCCGTCTTTGGGCCACACCTGAGTCACTCTGGGCCATAGATTAGCTGAGGAAGAGAAAAGAGAAGGGCAGAGCAACTCTTGTTACAATTTAAAAACCAACGGGAAGGAGTCACACTATACAACAGGGCTCACATGGGAGGCTTATTGGAAGATGCGAGAGAAGGGGGCAGAGAGGGGGACAGAGACCAGCCCCTGAGAACAAGACTGGTGGCAGAGAGGGAGGGAGGGGGGCAGACATAGAAAAAGAGACAGAAGGGACCTTTTAAAGGCAAACATAGTGAATGTGAACGGGGTGCTCTTAGTGGCTGTAGCTGAGGGCATATCCTGTCAGGACCCCAAGGGCAGGCCAGTACAGATAGATGCCTGGACACTAACAACTGATTCTGCTGGGGTTGGTTGAATGGGAGTCATCCTCAGCCCCTACAGTGTGACTCTGATGGTCAGCAAGGAACCAGACAGGAAAATGTGGGGAGGGCAGGACACAGCAGGCAGGGGTACTGACCAGCCCTGCTCACAGGGCTTCCTGTTGCAGAGCTTTGATGGCTGGGGGTCCAAAATCAAGGCACTGATGCGGCTGCACTCCTCCACACTCTAATGGAGATAGTCCTGGTCTCAATTCCTAAGCTGCAGCGTCCCTGGCAGAGGGCCACGTGCCCTGCCTCTATTGTCACATGGCTCATGTCTCTGTCTCTGTCTCACAGGTCATATCCAATTAGGGCTCACTGAATGATCCCATCTCGACAATCTTAGGAAGGCCCTATTTCCAGATAAGGTGGTGTTTCAGGATTTCACCAGATCTTTTGGTGAGACATAAGCCAAGACGCAGCACAGAGAGAGATGAGGGGAGCTGCGGGCACAGTTCCCTCAAGGTCACTCCGAACTTAAGGCGGAGCTCTCACTGGAACTCACACCCCACCATCCTCTGACCTGACCCTCTCAGACACACCGTGTCTCCCCAGAAGGCCGGTGGCCCCATGCGGCAGAACCCCACCCCACTGTTCCTCACTAGATGCCCAGAGCCAGGTCTCAGGGGGATTCTCCAGCCCCCAGGTCCTCGTTCTTGGACTTGAGAATCCGTGTGAAGCTGTTGCACTAGTATCACAGTGGGAGGTTGAGCCGCATCCCAGGGGACTCTGCCCCTCTAGACTCTCTTCAGGGCAATGGGGAGCCACCTCCCAGACACAGACACACCTGGAGAGCAAAACTGCCACTTCCTTGGGGCTCAGCCCTGGCTGGAGGGAGGCAGGATGTGTTCTGCCTGCCGCTAAAGAGACACCATGGATGTTCCATGAAGCCAGAGACTTTCCAGGAAGAAGCCCATAGCACAACTTTGGCTTCCTGATAACCTGGCCTAACAGCCAGCCCACAGTCCAGACCACACAGAAAAAGGAATATGCCCCAGCCAGCCCCAAGCTGGGCCCAGACAGCATCACCTACAGTGCACCAGGTCTTCCAAGGCCTCATAAACTCTGGAATTTCCTGCCAACAGTACGGTCACACCACTCTACCCAGAAACAGACACACACATCCAAAACAAATTTGTTCTGTCATGACAATGGTGACGTGGCACACCAGAAGACAAACTGATCTTCCCAGCAGATCAGGCAGGCTGCTTCAATATCCATATGGAAAACACATTTACCCTCAGCCTCATCATAAGCAAAATTCAATTCCAGATGGATACAGGTGGCAGATGCTTCAAGAACAAACTTACCAAACACTCTCCATGACCTTGGTGGAAGGAAAAAAATAATAAAACTCAGAATATAAAAAGCCCCGTAACAATGTGAAGTATTGAAATGAAAATCTCTACTCAATGATGTCAGAGCAACTGCTCCAAGGGGGAAATGGGTGACACTCTGACCGTCTCCAGATGGTCTAATTCCATATATACATCAAGAACAGGATCAGCAAACTGGAAACAGTCAAAAGTCTAGCTAGCATGTAGGCATTTCACAAGACAGAGTAGTTAAATGACTAATAAACCTAAAACAACCCTCACTGTCCTAAGCATATATTAATGCTAGGGCACAAATACACAGCGTATACAAATGAAATGCCACTGTACATCTAACAGGATGACTGCCAATGACAGTGACAATTGCCAGTGGGCTGTATGGGGCAACAGAACGCTCACACACAGCCCTGAATACTGTAAGTTATTCAACTACCAGAAAACTTCACAGGCAACAACCCCATGGTCCAGCATTTCCTATTGGTGCACATCATCATACATATTGGATGGGCACAAGAAACATTCTAGCTGCTTGTAGCAGCCTTGTTTGCTGTAACCAAAGTCTGGAATCAGGCCTGGGACCCATCTGCACCAGACCTGGGGTCTGTTCACACAACCAACTACCACAGAGAAACCAGAACCCGTGTAGAAATTGACTAGATCAATCAAATGTACAAATAGCACCATGCAAAAGTAGCAAAACAAAAAGGACCGTACCTTGATTCCCATGTAACACAGCCTTCAGTCAGTAACTAACAATATTAGAAGTCAGAGCAGGGTCACCCTATGGAATGCAGGAAGGGGAAGATTCACTGAACATGCGATGACTCCT